CAAAAAGAGTCGCAAAGTCTGTCCAAATCGGTAACCGTTGACCTGAAAGAGCTGTTCACACCATTTGTTGTGACCCAAGCGGTGGAGACGACACTGAGTGCCACCAAAGATGTAAAAAGTGTGAAACGATTGCAATTCGAGTCAAACGCCGATAAGAATCGTTTCGAACCGAAAAGAGTTGAGTTAAACGCCGACGACTTGACCGTCACTTTGAATCCAATGGAAATTCGGACTTTCATTATCACTACTAAACCCCGATAAATGACATCTATGTACTATTGGCACAACTTTCATGATTGGTGCAAATTAACAAATATGTTATTTTCATATAAAATACAAAATAAAATGAATAATTAAATGACAAAAAGTACATATGAAGTTTGTTTATCTAATCCAACATTTAAATTATTTTAAGTTTAGTTTCACTATTCAATTCATTGTCGCTTTTTTATACCAAATCCAATTCAATGGCAATTAAAATCGCGTTTTTTGCCCAAACTTTCGCTCTTTTCTCACCTCATTTTCCTCTCTTTTCAAAGTTTTGGTTTCGTTTTCATAATTATCTCATAATTCGTTCGAAAAGTGAACAAAAATGCACTAAAATTAAAACATTTATGACTTTATTAACAATTTTGTGTTAAATTGTTTTATTGTGTATTGTTTTCTCTGAACCGAAGCGTGACGTCACTGCAGACACGCGAACGTCTTCTCTTCGTTCCACTCTCTGCTCGTGATGTCCAGCAATGCGTGGTTTGTGTCGCGAGAGTCGCACCAGAAGTAGTCGTCGATCGGCAGCGAAGTCACGTCGAAATCAAAGTCCACGTCCGCGCGCGCCGTCACGTACTCTTCCATCTGATTGGTCCGCAGAGGGCGTGACTGCGGCGGCGGCGGTCGCTGGCGTTTTTGGTCGGGCAGCAGATAGAAGGGCAGCGACTCGGAAGTGCCGCCATCTGACGGCCGAACCAACTCCACGTTCACGGGAATCGCGTTCTGCACCGAAAGGTCGCAATATTTGGGCGAACGGAACGAAATGGCGAAATGCTTGTGAATGTCGCTAAAGGGGACAGTGAGTGGTCAGTCGGGGGCGTTCGGGTCAGCGCCGGACACTCACCTGGCCTTGAAGTCGGCGAACGCCTCCCAATAGAGACAGTCGTCGCGCTCTTCCCAAAAGCGGATCCGAATGTCGTCTTTGACGACGCGGTCGCAGAGCAGCACAATGTCTTGGCCGCCGCCGACGGGCGCCGAGTAGTGCGAGAGTTTGGCGATAGCGAGCTCTGACATTGCCTTCTTGTCGAAGATGGGCTCCGAGACGAGCGGCTCGAGCGCCACGTCGAACACGTCGGGCGCGCTCTCCAAATAGACTTGAAAGCAAAGCCGAATGACCGCCAGATCTATGATTTTGAAAGCTTGCGATTTGTGGCCGAAACCCGTGCGGAAGGGGTCCACACGCAGGGCCTCGCGTACGCGCAGCCGCTCGCGAATGTCTTTGCGTTTGGCGCACAGAATGCCGAGATTGTTGAAGACGCAGACGCCGTCGGCGAACACGAGCGAACACACGCCGTCTTTGCACGACTTCTTGCCCACCAGATTGTGCGGATGCGCGCGGAAGGGATGGTCTGCGGGGAATGGAGAAGAACGGCGTTAGAAAATCGCGCGAACTCTGATTGAACACTGACTTTTGGTGACGCACGAGACGACCACTTTGGCCCGGCCGGTGTGGTTGAAGAGCTGGATGGTGGGAAACGTGGGCCGCACTGTTGTGGAGCTCTGGCCGGGAATGGCACCCGAGATGCGGCCCTCGCACTCGTAGCGGAAGCGAACGCCGCATTTGGCCGGTTGTTCAGTGATGCGCGCGAACGTGCAAAAACGAGACAATAATGAGACAAGAGTTGAGTCAAAAGTTCGGTTTCGTCGAGAAATTCGAGTCTTTCGACGCGTTGTCTGTCCTCTCGAGACAACAACTGGTCGTAAACTGTGTTCATATCCCACGCGATCACATTCTGGACGCCGTTCTCCGCGAACTTGTCTTTCCATTGGTCGAGAGTGACGGACGACGAGACGCCCAGAAGCGGAGTGTCTCGCGATTGCAGCGAGTCTTGCATCACGTGAGCGAACGTGTCGTCAGTATTGAACACATCGAAGACGAGGAAAGCGGACGACGGAAAGGCCTGCGACAGAGCGCTGATTAGGCCAGACGTCTGGTCACGTGTCCAGTAGAGGAGAACGCACTCGAAGACGAAGAGAATGGGATTCGTGTCGCAAACGTGGCATTCGTTGACTAATCGTTGCGTCAGTTTCCGCGCTTTCGTCGCGTCACAAGAGATGGCGTGATATCTGTCGGAATGCAGAGCGCAGTCCTCTGTCAACGGGTTCTCCACTTCGGCCTTCAATTGCGGCCATTTGTCGATCGCTCGGATCTTATGTCGCGTCACGTGTTCGGAGTCCACGTCAACGACGCGCGCGAAACACGTCTTTTCGGCCGAAAGTCTGCGAAGAATGCAATGATTAGGGAATGCAATGAATGAGTGGTTTGTTTTGTCGACTGACCGCCAGAAGAGTGAGTCAAAGCCGGCGCCGACGTTCACGACTTGAGTGGTTGGGCCCTCTCGGCGGCAGAACTCGCGGATCACGTGATTGACGGCCGAAATGCGCGCATAATATCCTCTATTGATTTCGGGGGTTCTCTTCAGCGGAGCGCAGAAGAGAGCGGCGAACGCATCGCTCGTATAGCGCAGGGAAGCGATCGACGCTTTGGTGCGCGAACTCTCGTCGTTCGTCCACTCCATCGGCAAAATAATGGCCACAATTGCGGCACAAATTGATGATAATTAATGAATAATGTCAACAAATGAGAGGAAAGTGACACAAATGACGTCCGCAATTGAGGGCTGAATGTTGTGACGAAAGAAAGTGGTCTCAAAGGGAGACAAGAGTTGTGCGAATACAGCGATCGCGCGGACGACATGTGAAACACAAACTTTAGAGGCGAAGAAATTGAATGCATTTTTTGAATGAAGACAGAAATGGAAATCAGAAGAGAAGAAGAAATGGAAATAAGTTTTTAAAGAATTGAAGAAAATTGGTGTAAAATTAACGATACTTTCGACCAAAAGATGGGAACACTTTTTATTTCGATTTTTTCGATAATTATTTTCAAATTTATTGAATTTTTCCCAAATATTGCGAAAAATTCCCGAAAAATGCATAAAAATAGAAACAATCCTTGATTTGACGAAAAAAATGAAACTATTTTTGCTTTTTGTGTTTTTAAACGTTTTTCTTTTGGTTTTGACGGAAAATGAAGACAAAGACAGAGAAGAAGAGAATGAAGAGAACGAAGAATCGGAAGAAGAAGACTTTCCTGAAGAAGGAATGATTGATTTATCGGATTTGGAATCGCTTTTGAATCGACTCTCGACACAAGAATTGAGACCAGAATTTGATTCACTTTTGAATTCTTTATTTCGATTTCAAACTCTTTTTTCGCAATTTTTTGAATCAATTTTAAAAACTTTTTTCCCTTTAATTTCGGAAAATATTTATAAAGTACTGAAAAAATACGGAAAAAATTCAAATCTAAAACTCGTTTTCTTTCCGATTCTTAGATCGAGATTTCGGGCGAATGTTTGCAAACTTTGCTTCGATTTCAGGACTCTTTCCGGAGCCAAAAGGAGTGGCCCTTTAGATGTGAGTCACGTGTCATTTGCTGACCAGTGCTGACAAACCTCTGCTTCTGTCCCGCAGTTCTGGACTCTTCGGCGCGATTCCCGTTTTCGGGTCTTCTCGACGGAACGATTGCCGATTTCGGCGAATTCGACGAATGTCTGGCCATAAGTCACGCGCAAAACGAGTTCTCGGTTTCGGGAAAATACTGTTTATTGAATGTTTTGTTTCCGAAACCGGGAAACACTTCCGAAACCGAACTGCGCTTCCATTCGGCGCTCGTCGACGTCACGAACACTACACTCGACGACACGCTCTTCGCGCGCTTCGCCCGCAACGCCAACCTCTTCTACATCTCGCGCGGACTCACTCTCGGCGCGTGTTTTCCCGACACGTGTTCGGCGCGCGATCTGCAGACTCTGGTCTCGAGCCGTGAGTTCTCTTCTCGTCTTTTTTTCGAACTTGAATTCGAGTTTCCATTCAGTTATTGAACCCACGATTGGACTCAAAGTCGAAGTCAATTCGTGTCAATCACGTGATTCTCGCCCTCCAATCACGACCGCGCAAATGGTGGCCATTGCTGTTCTCGCGTCGCTCTCCGCTGTGACTCTCGCGGCAACAATGGCTGACTTTTGGGGGAAAGAAAACCAATTTATTATTTGTTTTTCGATTTCCAGAAATTGGAGAAAACTGTTCGAAAAGAACACCAAAACGCGCGCTCTGTCCGCCGTTCACGGGATGCGCGTTCTGGCCATCCTCTGGATCCTCATCGGTCACGTCTATTTGATGCAATTCTTCCACATCTTCCATGTGATGCGCCGTCTGGTGGCGGAGATGCCGAGACTCGCGCAAATCCAATATCAACCCTTGAAAATGGGTTCTTTCCTCCAGGTGGACACTTTCCTCTTCCTCGGGTAATTCCCGTCCCGTTCCCGCAAATCTCGTTCTCATCTTCTCTCCCGACAGCGGAGTGACCGCCGCTTACGTCACTCTCGACGTGACGTCACGCACGAAAAGGCGCTTCGATTGGTTCGCGTTTCTGGCGTTGCGATGGTTGCGCTACACGCCGGCCGTGTGTGGGCTCGTGCTGTTCTACCTGCTGCTGCCGCTGTTGGGCTCGGGACCCATTTTCCAGCAACAAATCCAACAAATGTATATTCCGTGCGAACAATACTTTTACCGCAATCTTCTTTATTACAACAATTTCTTCGATTCTGACGGAAATGTAAATCCGATTCAGAACTCTGACAACAATTACGGTTAACTCTCGTCTCTCTCAGTGCGCGACTCACACCTGGTATTTGGCGGTCGACTTCCAACTCTACGCTTTGTCTCCGCTTCTCATCTTTGCGCTCAAAGCGCGTCCCAAACTGGGCGTCGCGTTCGCACTCACACTCATCTTCATTGTTGGCCCCCTTTCGGCCGTTTCGCCCCTTTTTCTCGATTCCACGCTTTTCCCGAATTTGTTTTCTTTGAATTCCATTCTTTCCGAACAATCCATTTCTCGTCACTTCCGTCTCGTGAGTGTCTGCACAACACTATCACTCATTGCCGCTAACCCTCTCTCCTTCGCAGTTGTATTGGGGCGCGTGGCAACACATCTCTCCCTATTGTTGCGGACTCGTCGTCGGTTTCGTCGTCCACTCGCGGCCAACACTGCGAGTCTCGCGCGCCGCACAACTGTGTCTGTGGTGCCTCACTCTCACGTCAGGCGTCGCCACAATCTTCTGGACCACGAATTGGATGAACTCTTTGGCGGCCGAAGAAACACCCGGTTTCGCGCACCGCGCGCTCTTCACGGCCTTCCATCGCATCACGTGGACAGCGCTGCCCGCGTGGATAGTGCTCTCCAACGCGCTCAACACTCCCGGTAACCGTCATTAGTGCAATTGCATTGCCATAACTACTCTCTCTCTCTCTCTCTCTCTCTCTCTCTCTC